CTTTTATTCAGTTCATATACAATGTGTATTATTATCGAAAAAAGTATTCAATGTTTTCCAAAATCTGAAAAGAGAAATCTTTGACACAAAAGCAGACAACAATATAAGTTTTCATCAATTAAGTATTCTGAATAATAATTTATTTCGCAAAATATATAATTTTAATGTCATTAGTTTATTATGAATAAAAAAAATTTCATTCATTTTCAATACTTAAGTCTTCATGAAGAATATGATTAAGTTTCCTGATTGCAGCTTATCGTTTGAATTAAAAAATACTCTCCATTAAAAAAAATTATCATCGGTCAGTGGCAATTCGTTCAATCAAAATCAATCGTATTATTTAGTTTTTAAATGCTAGCGTAGTATGCTTATTGGACGACATACTTAGTCCAGAGAAGAATACCAGAGAGAATTCAAGAAAATACATAAAGGCACAAAACACATGAAATGTACTAAGAAATATTCCAGACGCAATAAAATAATAAAAGAGAACAAGTAATTGATCTCTTGCTTCTCAGTAACTATTAATGAATTGACGAAAAACTTGCATTTGGCAATCAAACAATTGACCAGGCACGGAGTGCCATTCCTAAATGATTAGGTTAAGTTATACGAATATGGCAAAGCACCACCAGGCTTTCTGACTAAGAGGAGGAACACATTCGTGAAGGATTTTCTAAGAAACACTGGTTCGTATTCTGATTACACACTGGTGAATAGGATTTTTGCACATTTTATATAACTCTACATATGATTTCATGACAAATTTTATATCTATAACTTAATTTTTTTCTTAGCTAATAGCTGAAATCTGATTTTTGTCCCCCTAAATTCCAAAGATAGACGGAACTAAAGTTGGAGTTGTGATAAAATATATGAGCTTGAAGTGCCACCTCTGTCGGTATAGTAGTTAGCGTAGCTGGATGACGTATAGTAGGTCTCAGATTTCAGTCTCGAAGAAGGCATAGATGTTTGTAAGTGTATACCGTCTTTGTGGCATTAGAGTACTTAGAATACACGTCGAGTCGAAAATCCTCTCTAGTGGTTTGGTGGTAGTAGGAGAGGTGTTGGAGCTCCTCAAATCCATCCTCCGGGGTGCTCTTCATCAACGGAACAGAACAAAGTCTTGGTTTTCATCTATAAGATACCTAACGGCCATGCCAACGACAAACGCAGTCCTAGCCACAATAAATTTCGTTGACTTTCTGTGGTGCTACTGTCAGAAAAGGGTGTAAACCACAACACCATGCTGAAGCACATAACGTCGCAGGACATTCATAAAATAATGTGAGATCTATTTTACTTTGAATTACTAATACGCTTAATTTATACGGAATTTACAAATTGAAATAATCGTCTACTGTACCAAAAATACTGAAACTGTGTCAGCTTCAACGGTTATTTTATTGGATGTATTATGTTATTTTATTGGATATAATATCCGAGAACATGCTTTAGCACATTTCTTGCGTTGTATTATGAAGCAAACTTGATCTGGATTTTATTTCATATAAGAGTGCAGACATTATACTATTTGGTTTATTTAATTAATTATTTTATTTCACTTTTTGGCCATAAATTGCTAGCTTGGGCTTGATTGCACTAATAAAAGGACTGCAAGAATTTTAGTAATTTCTCTTGAGTTTAGAAGCATTAAAAGGACACTGAAGATTCAGTTTTCTTTTATATAGAATATATCTAGAATACTCACTGCAGAAAACTGATTAAGGTGCCCATTTCAGTAAACTTAACACATGACAGAAAAAGAATTTGTGTGATTAAGTGTATACATTATTTATTGAATTAAAACAGAAAAGTGTTATCATTGATAATTTCTATCAATATAATTTTGTGACACTCATCTTCTGTTTAATGAAGTGCACAGCAAGGCAATTTTCAAAACTTAGCTTCTCTAAATATCAAAGCGTGTGGTGAAATATTGAACAGACATTTCGAGAAGAGTAGCATAAATGTTACATACTCAGAAAATGAAGCCATCGGTCTAAACTAACTTGAAAACATTTAAATGCAGTAAACTGAGACTATAAAATGTAAACTGTTTTTAAACATTCATTTAAGTAGTCATCTTCTTGTCCTAAATAATTTCTTAAAAATAATGCAGTAAGCTTCAAATTTTGTATCTTTCTTTCGAATGGGGAAATCACAAAGCACATTTATAAGGTATTTCTCCCACTTTCCTAGCGTGCCTTTGTGGTGTAGTCGTTCTGCCCACTGGGCTGGTATCCAGAGGTCCGTGGTTTGATTCCCGGTGAAGGCGATTGCTAATTTTTCACCTCTTCTGCTTCCAAAAATTACCTAATGTCTCTACAGTGGCGCCCGAACTAAAAGGGTCGTGGATGATGAATCTCCACACCCATGATTTGGCGACTAGGTCCCCTGAAAACCCCAGTCGCCCTTTAAAATGGGGAGTATATAAGGTATTTCTCCCACTTTCCTAGCGTGCCTTCGTGGTGTAGTGGTTCTGCACATTGCGCGGATATCCAGAGATCCGTGGTTCGATTCCCGGCGAAGGAGATTGCTAACGTTTCATCTTGCCTGCTTCCAAAAAAATGCCTAATGTCTCTAAACATTAATTATTTTATCAAATAAAAATCAAAAAGAAACATTTCTTAAAATTTTTAAATATTTTACTGGATTAAGTACTGTTAGCTTTTAAAACCTATTTTAAATTTTTTTGGCATAGATTCGAGCAGACTGTTTATTACCTTTCTTACTAATCTTGTATTACTATCTGTTAGAAAAATATTTTGTTTCTAAATTTTGGACTGCATTTTTCGCCAGATACGATCAATAGAGACTAAACCTGGCTGTACTCTGATTATATAATACCTGGCTGTATCTCTCTGGGAAAATTAAGCAACAACAAGAATTGCACATTCTTAGCAGTATGCTTATCACCATAAGTATGGTAGAATTTGGAATTATTCTGGGCTCATAATCACAAAAATAATTTTACTTCACAATTCAATTATCAACATATTGAAATATCAACTAATCCATTACCATATCAATAAACATCAGATTGCGATTTAAACGACTAACAAAAGATGTCTACATAACTCCTTTTTCACTATATTTTACTGTTGGTACTATATTCGCATTTAAAATTTTTCTTTGCACTTATACCATGATCAAAAAAGATCATTCTATCAAGGAGGATAATTAATACCTCATTTCAAACTGAAATTTCTAGTTTTCCTCCTATTTTTAGAATAAAGTTCTGTTTTCCACTGACACTCCGTTTTCTGTTCTTCCACAGATACAGATTTGTTTTTCGTTTCCATCAGATCATTGTGCCGAGCAGCCAAGTTTGTTATTTGAACCTTTTATGAATCAATAGATGCTTTACATGATTATTAAAGTTCTTTTGCAAGTTTGGGATCAACCAGCTTTCGATTATTTTAATATTATTAATAGTACTGATTTGTATTATACAGGACAGCTGTGACAGCTTTCCAAGTAAGATTTTAGATAAATTTCAATTCTTTCTAAATCTGTTAAATCCTTTAAACTGTAGGGACCATTGGCATTTTATTTCAGAACAGGAGATTGGGGGGGGTGGAATGTGCAGAGCCCTTACCGGGATTCGAACTCCGAAACTTCCATTTGCTAGCCGGACATGCTTTTTACTTACTCCACTAACGCCTGCAGTAAGGAAAGGGAAAATGTTTTACTAAATGAAGAGTTTCAGCAATTTTTTAAGAGATTTTGGTTTGTCCAGGGGCAAATAACTTACGAATTCCTAAACACATTTGCTTTCATGGAGGAGTCATGATGACGTTGAAATTTCACAGATTTTAAGAAACGATTGAAGAATTCATAAAGAGGATTTTTACGTTGTTTTCTATGCAAAATAATGTCATAAACTTTATTTATCTCAAATGATTTTGTTTTCAGTCTTAACAGCATTTAAAGAAGTAGTCTAAGATCGTTTGCTATTCTTTGGTCCGAATCCTGGCTACGTCCATGAAAATAACTGAAAATAACATTTACTACAGTTGTGTACAAAATGTGAATAAACATTCTAAGTAATCTGCTATTTAATGCTTGTGAACAGCTGAAAGAAAGCGATAGGAACAACAAAGATATAGTAATCTGGACACATAAACCATAAGCATAGCCATTAAGTAATATGTGAAGAAAGTTCGCGAACATGGGGTCTTCGTTATATACAAAATATTTTGATTTGAGTCGAGTTCTAGAAATTCTTCAATTCTGATTTGTCTAATCGTATATCTTTTACATAAATATATGGAAGTGCACACGCGGTCGCTTGTCAGTGAACAAGTTACTCTATCTTGGTTGAATCGTTACTGGCAATTACGTGCAGTTAGAATTCATTAAAATCTACTTTCTACACCTTCCCTGAATCATTTACAGCTTGCACTTAAAATTTAAGGCTTGCTCTCAGACAAATAGCAATCAGTTAACTCATTTTTATAATTATTATCAGCAACCAATAAATTCAAAATTAATACTCCCGCCCTCCTCCCCAAAAAAAAGACTCTCATTTTCTTGTTGTCACTGTTTAATTTTCCTCGGGTTAAATTTATTTGACATGTCCATTTTTAAAATTTGAGTTTGGTTCTGACCTTCTAGGATGCATTCAGTTGCGTAGTCATCAGCGAAAACTCCTTAAGCTGAACTTTGAGGTAGCTTGAGTAGTGAAAACTCACAGAAGGTTTTGCAAAGATTCTTCATAAATGCTTGAAAATAATTCTGGTTCTTAAAAATGCACAGAAAATTTCAAACTTGCAAACATGAATTAGTTTAAAAAATATTCATCACGTGCTCTGTGAGTGGCATAAGTTACATAAGAGAGGAAGTTTCTTTATCACTGGGATTAGTAACCGTTTTACCTCATGTGAGAAAACATTATGCGCATTTTATCAATAAAATTGCTAACCCTAAGTCGTGAGTCATACACCATTTCTTGTTCTCTTTTAGATATGCTAAGTAATACAGTAACATTTTCCAACGTTTCTCATTTACTGTTTATAATGAAGTAATATAATTTGCTGATATACAATATTCCTTTCGGAGCTCAGGTTTAAAAAGAGCAGACAAACAAATTAAGAGTTTATACCTAATAGTGATACATACCCAATTTTTAATTTTTTAAACAAAGAACAAATATACAAAAATATGTATTAAAAATTCAAATTTTATGAAAAAGATGACATATTTGATACAAGACATAACACCTTCAAATGATCTACATTTACTATGGCATTATGATACTTTTCTTACATACATTAGAGCATGAAAGGTGTGACATAGATTAATAACATATTCCATTGTTTCTAAAGTAGTGGTCATAAAATTTTCTTTCACGGAACCCTGGGGTTCCACAAGTCAAAATTAAAATTCCGAAGAATTTTTAAATACACTTAGACCGCAAAGCTAAATATCTAAAATAACTAATCAAAATATTTTGTTTCTATTATTATTTATTGTTGCCTAAAATAATATGATGTGAATCTGTTTTTTAAACGAAACTCCGCTCAATCAGATGTTAATAAAGAAAAGAATCATTCTTCTGTTTGTCTGTCTGTTTTGAAAGTCAATGCATTTTTAGCGACTAATAAGAAAATAAGAAATTTCGCGAAATTTAAATTCAAGATTATTTACTTAATTATGTAATGAATTTATGCAATAACATAAAATCTTGATTTTGCATTGAGAAGTGAGATGTTTGTCTCGAGGAAATATCATGACCATATTGTTTTAAGTTAAAAGAAGTCAAAACTTCAGATGAGTATAATTAAAGTTTTTGCCTTTAAAATTGAGTATTTGTAAGTCATATATCAAAGAGATTAATGTATAACGTTATATACAGTTTTTACAGGAAAAACTGAGATCAAATTTCCGCTCCAGAAAGTAATTAATGCTTATTTCATCGGATTCGAAATTAAGAATAAATATCAGCAAGAAAAACTGCTTGATTTTTGGGTACACAATCGTGCATATACCGAAATTTCTAACAAAGCTATAAACATCCTAATGCCCTTCACTGCAAGTTATTTGAGCAAAAAATGCCCATTTTCAACATATGAAACAACAAAAACAAAACACATGAACATGCAGAGCTCTAAATCACTAAATGTGGAATACGCTAAGCGACAACACCAGTGCACCTGTAGAGCCAGGTTTTCATATTTCCCGTTAAGAAAAAAATGGAAGTGCCATTCCAGCCATTAAACTTATATAATGCGCAAGTGATTAATAAATTAATAACTACATTTATGAAACTTGTGGTTTAACAAGATGAAATTATGATGTTACAAAATAATGGTTATCTTTTGATTTACCACATTAAATATGGGCAACATTAACACATTTTAATGCAGTTTTAAGAGTTACATTTCTGAGTTTATTAAGGGTTCCAAAGAAAATTACAGTTTTACAGTTATGGGTTCCCTGAGTCGCTAAAGATTCAAGACCACTGTTCTAGAGCAATGGAAGAGTACTTAGCGCATTCTTCTGATATGACATATAATGACCAGACTTTTATCTGCCACACATAATAATTCATAAAATTACAAATAAGTATTTTTATAACTTGCTTTAAGAGTTCTGTTTCACACATAAGAAACACTGATTTTCTTGAACGTCCAAACAGCTATCTTGTTTCGCCGGATCACATTTTTGTGATTTCCTCGTGCCCGTTCGCCGTGGAATGAGTTGCAACACTATCCAAATTTATTGATGTTATTCGTTTTCTGTTGATCTCTACTTTCAGTTTCATATGCTTGAAGTCTCTGTAAAATGTTGCGATGAAGAGAATACTGAAGAATGTAAACGCCCACTCGGACAGAGAGCTGATGATGTAGTAGAAGCTATACTGTTAGGAAAAGAAAGAATTGTCAATAGTTTGGAAGTGTAAATGAGAATTTTAGTAAAGCTTTCTAAACTTAACAGTTTACTATCGAAAGCTCAAATAATATTCCTAGAATTCTGTCAAAGGTCATAAATGACAGCAAAGCACAGGAAAGATGCTTATTTTACATTATACGTGTAGACAAATTTCGAAATATCCCTTGCCGTCAGCCAGTTCTTGCAGACTAATTAATCCAAGTGAAAATTTATTCGCTCGCTTGTGAGCTTATTCTCCAAGACTTTTTGATGTATCGAAATGATAAGCAAGTGTGAAATTTCGGATGTCAAATGAAAGAGTTTAGAAGACGATAGGAATAATTTTCATGTAATCTAATATGTACTGATTTAGAAAATGCGCTTAGAGTTTCATATCAATCTTCACGGCATGGATCTCAATAACAAGAGAAGAAAATCTGTACTACTTAAAAGAAAACAGGAGGATAAATTATATTTTATAAGAAATTACTACTTCTCGAATTATCATATTTTTTTCTCATGGGATTCACTTACATTTATATATGTATTTCACTCACGCTCCCTGAGTCAGAATTATGTCATTTTTCTTAGAAACTATGCTTTTATCATTTATTTGTCATTCGAAATAATTCATAACTGATTGCCATGCGTCAGTGCATCATGACATTATCCTCAGGATTTAATTAAAAGATAGAGTCATATCAAAATCTAGGTTTTTCATATCTGTCATAAACCTAATTTGAAGTGTTTAAAAAAATTTTAATAAACAGAGTTATGTTAATGTGTAAGAATACAGTAGACTACTAAACGACGTTTTACTGCGGCTCCAAAATTTCTTTACGACACTGTTGAGTGGGTTTCTAAATGACGTTATTTGAACTTTGATGACATTTTTTCAAAGCTTCAAAGCATAGTTTCTAAAATAAAGAAACAAAACCATTAAAGAAAAATGATTTAAATATATTTATATCTAAAGTTTTTCCCTCCCTGAGAATGATTCATTTTTTAATTAGTCAAGAAATTCTTTCACTGTGCATATGGGCTTACTTGCATACGCATATGCACCTATATAACCCATATGCACCTATATACGCATATGCACCTATACAAAGTTGCTAAATATAGCAGAAAATGGAAACATTTGATTAAATAATTCCTCTTCATTTTCCTTTGTCTGAATACATAGGCATATATAATTCATAAGCAATAAGAAACAAATGAGTGAATCAAATATCCATTAAAAACACTCCTTTTATTGCAGAAAATAATGCCAATCAGTAAACGTATTAATATGAGAAATGGGGTTAAAATATAATTCTCTACCTCATGGACAGCAAGTTAAAAAAACTTTTACTTGGCCCTTTACTGGCCTGGCAACTGCATTATGGATAAGTTGAAAATCACAATCTCTGGTCAGGATTAATCACAATTTTTCAATTATCGTGTTGATGGTCGTGTCAGGGTACGCCGAATAGACGATGAAAGCTACAGTCTAACTGAACATAACTGCATATCAGCGGCACCCTTACATGGCGTTTGTCTTCCTATCTGGAAGTAGAATCTTCCAGCAGGACAACGCTCCATGTCACAAGTGTGTTGAAGTGGTTCAAGAAGCATAGGGATAAATTCCAATTAATTTCCTGGCCACCTAATTCGCCGGATCTTACCCGATAGAGCGCATTTGGGATATCATGGAGCAGCAGCTCAGAGCTTAAACACCACCATGTCGGAATATCTCGACTTTGCATGGCCGCTTCTTAGACTGTCTCCAGTCAGCAACCAACAACTCGTGGCATCCATGGCAAGGCCAAAGGTCGCGCAACGCGTTATTGAGTAGGTGGTTATAATGTTTTGGCTCTTCAGTACATATATATATATATATATTTCACACATTATGCAATTTCCTAACAATATTTTCAGCCTTGACTGTGTTAGTCAAATAATCTTTGAGTACAGCAATCTCAGATTTAAAAAAAAATATTGCACATAAATACAGGGTTAGTCAGAAAAAATGTATACACACTCTAACAGATGGTATCTACGTACTGGTTTCAAAGCTGGACAGAATTTTCTTTACAGTGTGTAGTATCGTGTCTGTTAAACATATAGAGGCACCTTCTTGACTGAAATATGATGTATGATTGGGAAACAAAATGGTTTTGAGTACTTTGTCAAGAAATCACAGTGGCATATGCCGAAATCTCCACGAAAACATTCAACCAACTGCTCGCAGTTGTACTATGTGTCTGGTCGCTAATTCCCACCGCTTTGACACTTCGAGCATTAAGTAACTGCACAGATGTTGGTGTAGGAAGATTGTATTAAACCTAATAACAGCCTATAATATGTATGATTATGCTGGCCTTTAATTAAGTTAAATACAAAGAATTTTCTTTCAATAAAGTTTGTAAAGATTTTTTTTGACGGACCCTGTATAATGTAGTCACAGAATTTTTAAATGTCTTTGAATTAGAGCCACGAAACTCATTAAAGTCTATTCTCTAACCCCTCCTCCCTTTTTTTTCCGTTTTACCTTTCACATTAAGTATCGTTTCCTTCACACTTACACCATATGCAATTCAACAGCAAATCACAGATTAGCAGCATGTGCTTAGAATGCCCGATGCAGTGTTAAGTGTTGTCATATATTTTCCCTATCTTTTTTCAGTTCATCATATCATTGTTCAGTTTTCTTAGCAAGATGGGTTATAAAACTTTTTTTGTCTTTTTATTATTAACGTTTGTGTTAATTTTATTTATTAAATATCGCTTATGTCACGTAAAATTTAATTCAACAGCAAAACCACAAAATATTTGAAAAGAATATATTTTTAGAATTTACGATAGGCAGTCTCGCTGGAGATAAATAAGTATTTTATTCCGTACGGAGCTGCCACTTTTCGCTTTCAAATAGTTGAGTTTATTAATCAAAAATTCATTATAAAGTTTTACAAAATCTGAAATAATTAATAAAAATTATAGAACATCATACTATGAAAATACTGTATATTTTTTATTATATAGATCATGAATTAAATGCATTTTTATTATTTAAATCAATCCGAATCAAAAGAAACGAATATTCTTAATAACTGCATCTATTACTTGCAAATAGCTTAGTTTGTTAATATACAGCAAACAGATTCAATAGAAAATATAAATATCTTATTTTTTTACCGAATGGCAACAGACTCAAATGAAAAGTGAAACGACGCGTATATGGTGATTCGACGCAAAATTCCCTTTAAAGACTAAAGCCCACCAGCGGTTAAATCGCAGAACGTTTATAGTTCTAACCTGAGTTCGATTCCAAGCGAAAGGGCTGGCTGCATGGGCGCTTTCGTCTAAACTGTGCACGAGCCAGTTTACCTTAGAAAATCCTCCACGAAGGTCATCCCTTCCCTTAAGCAGATAGCCCTAGTATGCTTTGCCGTAATACGATAAACCAAACTCATTTCGAGACTAATAGCCCTTTTGGGCTAAATATATCATAAAATAAAGTACAGTCAAATCCAAGTAGAACCATGCTTCATTTCGAAGTCAGCTTGGATTGCGGACTTTTAATCCATCGTTCGGAAGAACTGAAAGAAATCAAAGCTAATGAAATTCGATGATTTAGCATAAGTCCCAAAATTTCCGATTTTTCTCATATTGGTTTAATTTAGCTTGAGTATGATTTTCAACTTTTCTCGAGTATAATTTATATATATATATAAACTTATATATATGTAAAAATTTATATATATGTAAGAACGTAACGTTCAAAATACAAGGAAATGAAAAGTAGAGGAAAAAGGAGTTCTACAAAGTCATATCACCTTCAGTGATCAAATAAACTAATCCTGATTAAAACAAAAAAAAAGGCGTGTTTACTTAATTTCAGATGCTGCACATGGCATTAGCGATTTTAGGAAGAACTTCCTGTATAGCACGTGAGGAGTCACTAAATAACAAGGTTGGCTTTCCAACTTTCCTCCTTCTGTCGCGAAGGCCGTAAAATTTGACTTCAGGTAAGACGATATGCAGAGAGAACAACAAGTATCAAGAAAGCAATTGTGAAAGGGCGTCCTTCAAAACTGCTTTAGTAGATCCCAATATTTTTCTAAAACTGTCTTTTTGGAGCCAGTATTGGAATCTCATGTGTCTCAAAGCCGGTAAAGCAGCCGGATGTTTTTACTGTAGTTAGTGAAAATATCATTTTGCTTTCAAGAAACAATTTCGTTTTGTTCTATTCTGATACCTTGCTTTGTTACAAAGAATATCAGAATAATGCATATAAGGTAGAAAATTGTGAACTGCTAGCAAAAATTTAGATTTAATGACATTTGATGCGACATCACTGTTTATTCTAACAAAGCATTTAAAATTATTAAAAGTAAATCTTAAAATTTAATTACTTGATAGAAAAGACATTTTTGCACTTAGATGGCAGATGATTATAAAAATTCAAAAACACTTAGTTGATAGATCATATGGTAAAAAATAATTTTAAAAATCAATATGATTCATTATTTCAACTATTTATTAATTAAAAATATCTAGAAGTTCTATTAAATAAAAAATGCGCTAAAATTTTGCATAGCATTTTGCTTATTAGTTTAATCTCTGTCTCAAAATTAAGCTTTCGTTTGAAAACAGGTGTTTTCTTTAAGTTCTGATGCTTGGGTTCTCTCTTCCACTTATCATTACTTCGCATAGTATTCCGATCAGTACATACCTACTTCCGACTCTCTGATATTTTTATACATATACCAACTGCATAAAATTAAGAATTACACCGGAGGGAAAAATTAAAGGAACAGCTATAAAAGTGATTTATGTTAATTCCATTTAGCGAAGTCCAGCGAAGGGTATTTCGATAGCTGATCAACTTTATCACGTAGTCCAACAGGATTCACCTTTATACAGAAATATGCAAATTTCTGCGTTCGTTCTTTCGGCATGTGTAACGGAGTGCATGGGGGTACTTTAATTTCAAGGATAAAATTT